TTCTTGTGAAAAGTTTCTATAGTAATCAGATGATCCTTCTTATTGCAGCTATGATTAGGGACCGCCACAACCCAGTGCGCACATCGACGAGCAGATCAGCTAGGACAGGCCATTAACAACTGGCTCCCACAAAGCGCAGTACTTTCAACATTGCTGTTTGACACCCATACTGGCGACCAGCCACCAACATACTCGAAGCAGCATTTACGCCAGAGATATCGCGCTAATAGCAAAAAGTGCCGATCTGCAAATGCTAAGCAAGACATTCAAGGCTACTCTGTTGCAGTATTTTCACCAACTGAAGTTACCAAAAAATCCGACGAAGACTAGGATGCTGCTTTATCCAGACGACCGAATGGCCAGGGAGAATCTTACAGTTGAGATTGTGGTCAACGCGTGTAGCACCAAATGAAGCCAAGATATCTAAGAATGATTTTCAGCCATATTGTCAGATCTTTTAACCATCCGATGGAAAAACACAACAAAATATCAAGGCTGGGATAAATCTGTTACGAAAACCATTCGGCAGTTTTTTGGGTGCAAGTACCGTAGTATTGCTTACCTCGGCCATGGCACTGTTGAGCTTAGCCGCAAAACACTGTTTTCTGTTTGGAGCAAATGCTGCTACACGAAAGAAATTAATATGCTCAGATTAACGAAGCAGTGTATCAGGAACCTAGCAGCCAACGTAAGAACATTTCTTCCTGATTCTGGCGCATATTGAGCCTCCTTACCTCGGTAGGGCGAGTAATAGTCTCGTGTTTATCGAAAAATCGATGGCTTGTAGCGAAAAAAAAAGAAAACCTTTGAAAACCTTTAAATACAACGGAAATCATAGATCAGAGACTTCGAACTAATTAAAACGGCTCAACATGTTATATTATGTGCTGTGACTTCAACAAACAGGTGTACATCTTTCATTGGTTTGCTTAGACCAAATGTTATCAGTAAATATTTTTACCCTCTCTGTAAGAGTTACCAGTGTTTTACCTAGTTAGTTTTGTTCCTTAATGCTGTACCCAGCCACTAATTTGTTACTGTTTTCCCACATCAGTCCTTCGCACTAAAATTTTGCATTATGAAAGTGCGTATGAAACTTTTAGTCAGTATCACTTTAAGATGGAACTGAAACGATGATGTCGATTAACATTAACGATGAATAGCTCAGCCAGCTGAGGTTCGCTGATGATTTGAAACTGATTGTGGAAAAGCCCGTTCAGCTAAAAGACACTATGCAACCGCTCAAGAAAAATATAGAAGTCAAACTGCGAATTAATCGGTCAAAACAGGAAGACACTGCATTCGGATGCCATATCAAAGTCCCAAGCAGTATTGAATAGTGAAATATCGACAAGGTCAATAAACAGAGTTCCGTGTGAGAAGTAATCAGCATATGCCAAGATCAGGCTGGAAAGACTCTACGGATAAGGAGGGTCGGTTTGCTCGCGTTCACTGGAATGAATGTTTTCATTCCGGTTAAAAACAAATTTCTCAGCATTCCCAGGAAAATCGCCTTAGTCTACCTATTCAATTCTAGTGTCTTGCCGCCGACGTTATATGGCTAAGAGGTACTGTCGCTCACAAAAGCAGAATAGTTCCAGGTCTATATCATGGAAAGAGCCATGGAATAAAGAATACTGGGAATTTTACGTCATGGTTACACCCTCCTCCGTACCCCCCCCCCTTAAACAGTGTGACCGAAAACTGGTTCCCTCTCCTGCTGCCTAAATCGCTTGGGCGCCCATTACAGCGGTAGGAACATTGCATCGGGAACGGGGAGAGCTGCTTATTGAGAGAAATGAACAGACAAACATCTCGAAACCGAGAGAAGTGGTACATCGCTGAGGTCGGTACGACTCGTCACCGATTGCAAGCTGGTTCAAGAGACTCAAGTGATTTCCTCAATCTCATGGTAAAATTCCTCAAGTCGATCTCAGCATTTTTGTTTACGGCAGCATAAGTCTTGGTGAACTCGAAGATATGATTATTGTCCAGCTAAAAATATAGCACACCGAGGAGTGATGACCTGAAATGAGACGAGATTATCCTTAAGAGCATTTCATGTTAATGATAAAGCCTAATTCTCAAACAGTTTTCGCGCCTTCTTTTTGTTTCAACCATACGAGACTTTTGTCCATCCATTTCTCATCATCTTCAACATTTTCATCTTCCACCGCCGCTTCTCCTTTCGGGTCGCGGCGGCAGACACGTCAGACAAAGCTTCCAACGTTCCCGATCCTGTGCCACAGATTCGGCAAAAGACAAATGCAGTCTGGCACAGACTCCTTCCATATATTAGCACCAGGTTAATCTTGGTCGTCCCCTAGGCCTTCTGCCGGTCGGATTTGCAAGGAACAATTGCTTAGCCTTCCTTTCTGGAGGCATTCGCAACACATGCCCATGCCCCTGCAACTGTGATTTCTCAATCTGGAGAAGCAAAGGCTGTATTCCAAGGTTCTTTTGCATGTCACTCTTACGGACCATGTCGAGACGCGAAAGACCAGCGACTCGTCTAAGAAAGCCCATTTCAGCAGCTTGTACCCGGGTTCGAAGTTTTTCAGTGATG